CAGACAGAGCGTATTGTTTATTTAAGGTTGCGGCTGAAAAGTTGGGCGCGTTCTGATTGACTTTAAGCGGTTTTCAGAGAACTACCTATATTCTCACTAAACAAACAAAGCTGTTTAATAACAAATAATAACTTTTATTAACTTTCATTAACTGTCTTTAGCCAAACTTCTTTTACTGAGTTGGATTTAGTTTTCCATCGTAAAGCCTGTTAAAGGTTGCCTTCTAACAAAACTCTTGGTTATGAAAGTCAATTTTAAGACATCAGCATAATCTATTAGGAAGGGATTGCAGTTTTCCGCCGAATTCTTATCTAAGTTCGTGGTTAAATCGACCGCATGTATGTGCGTAAATCAAGGATAGCCGTATTTATTCGAGTAAACGTCCTGGGCTCTAAATAAATATTTAGATCTTCAGAGTGACCGCTTATTCGAGGTGGGCACTTATCTGGTTTTATTCATTTTCAGCAAGTATTTAGTTTATTTCGCCACAAAATGATAAATAATAAGAATACTCGAAGATGTACCATAGGCAGTGTATCTCGAGATTGTAAGGAAATATTGAATAAGTTATACTCCTCTTAGAGGCTCTCGATCGGGTTCACCGTTAGCCATGAAAATGGCCAAAAAAATTTAGCCGTTAAGCGGAAAAATTGACAAATTTTAACCGTAAGTCGCAAAAAAAGTTAAAAGCAAAAGTTTTCTTAGTAATCACAAAGGAAAGAAGTTAACCGTTAGCCGTAAAATGGCCGACATTTTAACCGTTAACCATCGCCTTCTGAAGAGCCTCTTCCTATACACTACAACTTATTTTTGCAAGCAGGGGGGTGGGGAGGGGGCAGCAGAAGGAGAGCGGAGGGCCCATAATCGAGGTGAGGCGTTAATCCGATAAATACGGAACTTGAGAGGAATAACCGTAATAACAATTTAGCTTATGAGAGAAAAACCAGTCCGCATAGCTTTTTTTGATGTTATTTATTTCATCTTGGATTTAAATCAGACTTTATTTTTTCTCATTGAGTTATAACAGCTTATTGATCGAAAAAGATCTTTCATTTACAGGCAGAGTCCAAAATATTGAAAATAATTGTTATATAAACATTAGAACCGGAAATCCTGAAGCGAAAGTTCAAACAATTGTTGGGGCGTTTGAAGGAAACTAGCTTGCATGAGCAAACTGGACAAATGGTACCAAGAATTTTGGTTCACAGAAGCTTCTTTTTTAATTAATTACACGTTGCCGTTACAACGTTTACAGTATTCCCTTTCTGATTAACTCCAACGCCAAAACTTTTCTTTAATTTATTTCACGTTTCCGCCACAGTGTTTACAGTATTCCCTTTTTGATTAACTCCAACGCCAAAGCTTTTCTTCGATTCATTACACGTTGCCGCCACAACGTCTACAGTATTCCCTTTCTGATTAACTCCAACGCCAAAGCTTTTCTTTAATTTATTTCACGTTTCCGCCACAGTGTTTACAGTATTCCCTTTCTGATTAACTCCAACGCCAAAGCTTCTTCTTTAATTTATTACACGTTGCCGCTACAACGTTTACAGTATTCCTTTTCTGATTAACTCCAACTCTAAAGCTTCTTCTTTAATTTATTACACGTTGCCGCTACAACGTTTGCAGTATTTCCTTTCTGATTAACTCCAAACCTAACTTCAACTGATTTCGGCGACAATTTCAACTAGGACTAACAACCATTAACCAAAAGCTACGCGCTTAAATCTCATTTGAAAGTGGGCGTAAGTTCCTTAAGAAACTGTGATGGGAAGAGAACAAGATAATTTACTTTTTATCAACTGAGTCGATAATGTAAATTGGCCACTGAATAGCGAAACATTCTTTGTATTACGCTCTGTTGAGGGGCTAACGCTCCAAATATGAGTTCTAGAAACTCGTTACAATAGCTGAGTTACACAATTTTTATTAATATCTCATTTGGTTGTGTTTTCTTAATCTTGGAGTCGATACCTCAACGGTTTTAACCTTTGAAAAAAGCTTCTCTAGCTATAATAAGTAAATATATAGTTAAATATGAATAAGATAATGTCGCAAATTAATGACATTCCAATTTGGGAGAGACGACTAAAGCTGACGTGTGTTTTAAGGAGATCCCACATTATCTCAATAACGCCTATTGTCACTTTGCATGAATAGTTGAAAATACATACCGGCTGTCTTTTTTCGGGTGCCATGTTAAAATTTCAGAAGCAATATAGTGAGGCTCTTCTAAAAGGGATTGCAGAACAATTTAAACAAGTCAGAAAAAAACGACCGAGTTGTAAAATGTGGAAAGTTTACTGTCACTAAACAGTAAATCAGTTGATGGATGTTTACGCCGCACCAACAACGTCGTAAGTGTAGGTATTAGGGAACTTAAGCATCAACGGCAGATGCGGACGGCAGCCGGAAGTTAAAAGTTCTTATTCCCGGTGATAAATACATCTTTTTGGTCAGTTTAATTTGGTACAAAATTAAAAAACAAATACCTTAAGGTCGATGAATTAGCGTCAAATCGCGCCAGATTTAGTTTCATTCTTTCTTCGGTTGCCGCCCGCGTCTCAAAAACGTCTCTGCTCAAATTCTCTATAAGTAGGGAGAAAGAACTGGTGGGCATGTTCAGCCACATCAATGCGCGGATAAATCCAAACAGCATGCAGAAGGCTGGGGAGGAAACGATAACTAAGCAGCTTCGCCTGTAGAAAAATAACTGATGAGATTTTTAAGACCTTGACGATAATTACCACTGAAAATAAAACAGATGCAAGGGTTTACAGCACAGTACGAGCACGCCAGAAGAAAGGCAATAGCACCAAAGTATTGCATGCCACAAGATGACGTCATAGCCATGTTTGATGAATAAAGGAACAGCATGATGCTGATGCTGAATGGCAACCAGCATACGGTGAACACCAAGACAATGGCAACGGACATATGAAGAACATTTCTTTCTTTCTTCAAACGCTGCTCTCTTACGTTAGCTGATTGCTTGCCTGGAATCTTCTGCGACTTAATCCTTAAGGCAATGGCAAAATAAAGTATAGCGATCAAAACCAAAGGGACATATCTGGTAACAACAAACAATCCCAGAAAGTAACTTTCAAACGATAAGAACTCTCCAAATGTGTCATTCCACTGCCACCGACAAAACAGCCCTTCTGGATACTCGACAACTTTAAAGGCGATCAAATATGGGCAATGGACTGCCATGGCGACGATCCAAATGACGAGAATGAAGTACCGGCACAGCTTTGGACTGATCAGTGGGGTACGGAGAGGAAATACTACAACTACAAATCGATCCACTGCCATAATAACCAGACTCTGAACTGACACTAGACCTGAGACATCAGAAGTGTAGGAACTCAGCTTACAGAACTCTTGGCCAAGGGGACCGCTGATCGGCCAGTAGCCGCCTGTGGTTAAAGTTAGAAACAACCGAGGAAAGAGGAAAATCGGAACCAACAGATCGGAGATGGCCATGTTTACAATCAAAATGTTGATTGGTATTCTCAGAGATTTCTTCCTTTTGACAATCATCCCTAAGAGGATATTTCCAAACAAGGACACAACAAATATCAGTGAGTAAGCGAGGGTTTTACCAATTCTTGTTGCTGTGGGGTTGAAGCAGCTCGACATGGACTGTGTTCCATTCATCATTTTGGTCACGTTTGCCGACATTTTTTCAATACTAAGAGGTCAGGTTTTTCTTCAGCCAGCAGCCTTGCGGTGGGTACGTAAATTCTACTGGATGAAAACAAAACTATCCATCTAATATAGATCAAACTTTCACATGTTTAATTAATGAACATACCCAGGGAAATTCTACAAAATTGGCAGTCTTCACCCGAGACCTAACCAAGAAAAGTATGGTTGGAATCAGCTGTTGTCCGACATTAAGCAATCGATATGCGTTTTCAAATATTGTCGGCAAAAGGGACAGTTTTCTCAAGTTTATAAGCAGGAGCCCATCTTATATGAGTTTTTATAATTATGATCAATATTGTTCCGATGGCTCCAGAAATAGCCCAGCCTCAGATGTTTACTGATATAGAATAACGGTTGACAGCTGGTAGCGAAAAGATCTACAATCTTCTTTTCAATTCAGAATTTATTTTTAATTATGTTGCCATCGAAAGTTTAATCCAGCCTCGAACTTACTGATTAGTCTTGTTGTTCAGTAGACTTGTTGGAGTTTTAAAGAAAATTTTCACGAAGTTGTAACAAAAAGGAAGGGTACAGGACAATATAAGGCCGACTTCTTATGTGCGATGAAAATAGTATGGTTTCATAAGTCACCAGGAGAACCTGTAATAATTTAATCTTTTAGGCTAGGCATTGAGTCAGTTAAAATAGGATTGTCGAGAACAAAAATGGTTTTGAATTCTCTAATTATTTTTAACTTTTTGATATGATTGGTACTGGTGAAAACGATAATTTTTTAGAAAATAATATTTACATATAAAAGAGGAAAAACAAGTCATTTCTAAGAAAGGTAGTTCAACGCTGGGCGTTATCTGAATCTAAAGGCAAACATGAATAAAGCACGTGATAGAATAACGAGTGCTGAAATAGAATATTTTAGTGATGTTGAATGACAGTTGACAGCTTGTCTCAGAATCATCACGTATGAGAAAGGAAGTTGTTCTAAAATAGAGGAGTTAAGCGTGACGTTAACGGCAAATAGTATTGCAAAAGGCGACCATGCAACGTTTTCCCGTCAGCTTTCAGCTTTTTGTAATTTGAAACGAAAAAAATTCACACAAGCCATGAACAAGATCAGTATTATTTTTTAATTCTACTCAAGACGTTTTGGAGGATTACAGCACATATGATATCTCCGTTGCTGGGGATGCTTAGAATGTAATATATATGTTAATGATCAGACGTTTTTCCTTAAATCGAGTGTAGCAAACATATTTTCAAATAGAGTGAAAGAACCCGCGAGAGAAGTGCTACCTGAGGAAGACACTCAGGATCTCTGAGCAACAAAAATGTTGACAGAAGTAAACGCAACCACAAATGGAACACGAGAAACGAGCTGCTTTGATTCAACAGCAGCCAAAGCCGGTACAACCACAGTTCTGTGTGTGCTCTTCGTAGCTTCGCTGGTTGGAAACATCTTCATCGCACTGGTAGTATACAAGACGAAAACCCTAAGAAAACCCATCAACTTTTTCATTCTAAACATGGCCATGTCCGATCTTCTATTTCCGATTTTCCTGTTTCCACGTATTGTGACCGGGTTGTACGTCGATTTCTGGCTGATCGACGGGCCTTTCGGCGAAGCGATGTGCAAAATTTTTTCTTACTCAATCGAGGTTTCCGTTCTTGTGTCTATACAAAGCCTGGTTCTGGTGGCTGTTGATCGTTTTGGAGCTGTGGTATTTCCTTTCCGTTCTCCCTTTATCAGTACTAAGTTGTGTCGTTTCTTTATTCTCGCCACTTGGATCATCTCCGTCGCTATCAAGTCCCCAGAACTGTTTGCCTGGAAACTTATTGAGAATGGAAATGGGTTCGCGTGTAAGTTGCGATGGAAGGACGCGTTTGAAGATTCATTTCCCTATGAAAGCTTCATTCTAGCATTGAGCATTGTATGTTGGTATATTCCTTTGGTTTTGATCGCCATACTCTACGTCACCATTGTGTACAAAATTAAATCCCAGAGGACCCCAGGCGAGCAATCAGTGAACGTAAGAGAACAACGTTTGAAGAGAGACAGAAATGTTTTTAAGATGTCTGTTGCTGTCGTGTTGGTGTTCACATTGTGCTGGATGCCTACCACCATCCGGATGTTGCTAAGACTATTCGTCAGACAAAATTATGATATCATCTTGTAGTTTCCGATACTTCGAACATATCGCCGTTTTTCTGGCTCAATCAAACTGTGCTATAAACCCTTGGATCTGTTTCATTTTCAGTGGAAATTATCGTCAGGGGCTTAAAAATATCCTCAGCTGTTTGTACAGGACTAATCGAGTTGAACTCCCTAAAGTTGAATTGAGGAACTATAGATGTAGCACTAACTTGTAAAAAACAAAAACTGAGAATCTAGAAGAAGAAAATAAAAATTCGAAAGAAAAGTAAAAGAAAAAGCAGGAGGAGAATTGAAAGAAATATAATAGAGTTTGATAAACTGGAGCTTGTAAAAACATTGCAATAGTTTGGAGTGTAAATTAAAATTCATTTTTAAGCCATAGATGGTCATAGATGTGAATTAAGTGAATGATCTACTTCTCTGTACTATCCCATCTGATCTGGCTTTATTTTTACGAACTCAGAAATATGCTCATACTCAGACGGCCCCGAAGAGGACGGAGCAAAACAAAAGGTCTAATGAGTAGAACAAATAGCTCAGTACGTGCGTTTTAAAATTTCCTACATTCTTTTAGCTGTCCTCTGCAAAACATCAACGTGAAATGACCAAAAATTTGCGTTCACTGAGAACGGAAAACCCGACGGCAAATTTGGAACTCGACACCGCTCTCATACGTTATGCTGAAGTTGAGATGTGGCGCCGTTAGTGACGATAAACACATCTA